GTCACATCATTGAACAAGTTTCCAAATGCAAGTATCTTGGTATCATTCTAGATGCTAGATTATCTTTCAATTTTCATCTCGATTACATCCAGTCAAAGATTAATAAAAATATTTTAGTTTACAAACGTTCATAAAGACCGAAGAATTCNATCACTCCTATTTCCTTCAGTCAAATTCCAATAACGTCCAAATTAAACATATTTTGGTGCATAGAATACATTTGGGAAGAGTCAGTAATCTGAAGTGGCAAAAGCAATGCATCTAGAACAAGAACTAAATTTAAAAAAATATCTAAAACTATCTACAATCATGAAAGCCATAAGAAAAACATCTCTGAGTAAGCCATGGGCATCGTTTCAAAGTCCACTAGAGCAGTTCACATATTACGTCATAACCAGCAGCAGGTAGCGAAAAATTTATAAACGATTTAGTGATTTACTCAGCTCACAGTCATTTTGTTACGTATTAGGAACAAGCTAATCACATATTGATCGCTATGATAGTTCTTCATAATTTAGACTTATTAATATGTAGACAGCACTCGTACAACCATGAAAGCGAAAATAGAAGTGCGACCAGAGCAAATGTCGTCATTTTAGATATTTTTTTAAATTTAGTTCTTGTTCTAGATGCATTGCTTTTGCCACTTCAGATTACTGACTCTTCCCAAATGTATTCTATGCACCAAAATATGTTTAATTTGGACGTTATTGGAATTTGACTGAAGGAAATAGGAGTGATATGATTAATTAGATATATAGAGTTAAGCACAAATGTCATTTCCAAAGGATGAATAATCTTTCGTTGAACAGATCCGCATTCATTTTCATTCATGTTCTCTTTTCACACATTACTACGAGTGATCACCCATGTGATCTTGTTTGCAATAGGTTGACAACACAGTATTCCATCAAGTCTGTGCATTCATGATTAGCCAAAATAATTTATCTAGTCCATCCAGATTTCTTTCGCATAATACAATATAATGAAATAGAAGACAAACTTCATTTTTTCGTAACTTTGGGTGATTCGTTGATGTTGTTTGTGAAACCTATCCGCTTTCATATCGTTCAGCGAACGAGATGCAATGATATCGTCGTCAAAATGTCTCTTATCGCACAATTTATCCGAAGACCCTTGGTCCCATATATGATCAAGGCCCCTTTCCCTTTCATCATCTCCAAACTGTTTCATTGACTATCGTTTTCACTCGAGAGAAGCTCAATCTGTGTCTTTGGACAGTGGTATACTTTGATGACTTAGAATCTCTGGTGATTTGTAATCACTTTCTGATGTTGAGACATTCTTTGTCCTCGAAATCTGCCGGATTCTCAAATTTATACAAAGTGATGATATCCACCAGAAAATTTGTAAACAAGTTTGGTTAATCTTCTAGCTTCATCATAGTCCATCAGCAGCGACAAAAAGTCGTGCTTTTAAGTGAAATATTTGATGAACTTCAGCTGCAACTGCACATTTGATAGTAGCCTAGTGCACACTTTCCGCTGTCGATAAACAAAACTCAACTTTTCTGGTAAATAACACGTGATGGTAAAGAAAGCAATGTTTTTCGGTACGGTTAGAGCAGTTTGTTGGTGCAAATTTTTTAGCAATAAACTTTCGATCGGAAGTGTTACAGCAAATTATATGACAGGATTAATAATTTGCTTTCAACGTCTTTGTCCGTTTCTTTTGCTCTTCTTTAGGTAATTCGAATTAGGAGGATTATATCTAAGTATGAACCGTGGATCCGTATCTAGTGTTGTGTACTCAACGATCTTTCGTTTTGTCAGCACGTCAGAGAACACAGAAGGGAGCATTTTTTTGAGATTTTGTGGAAAATTTTAAATTTGGATTGCAGTTATTAATTCTATCCATTTATTCACTCATTGTCGTAGATTTAGGTGCCGAACAATGTTCAGACGTCTTCTCCAGTTTTGATATAAAAATATCCGCAAGAATTGATGTGAAATGTCTTATCATGGGTGAACATCAGCGTGTTCAATATATTTTGACCACATGTACGTCTCGAAAGGCACGCTGATGTCTAATAAAGAGGATATTTTCTGCTTCTAAAAATAGTTTTACAGATAGACGAATAAGACAAGGTATGAAAAAAGTGGATCAATCAATATTTGTGAGGAAAAATCATGATCTTCTCAAACCTTTAGCTGATCAAAGCCTGCATAGCAATGAACAGAGTCCAGATAAAAGGAAAAATGATCAATCAAAGGAGAAATCTCCCGATAAACGCACCGAAAACTCAAAATTGGAAATCACAGTATTCTTGTTCAACAAAATGAAAACATTGGTACATGAACTCTTCATAATATATTTATAACATGTAAATATTTTACTCGTGTTCTGAGTGAATATTGTATTAATTATATCTTTTCTGACTTAGAACAAATACATAAGGATACTGACATATCTTGAAAGAATGATAAACATAAAATATTTAATTCTCTGTTGAAGTTAGAACATAACTGTTCTATAGCCACATAAAAAGGTATCGTGACTAGCTGTGATTATGTTCCGATTACCTCAGTGTCTAATGATGGGAACACCATCCGATTGTTTATACTTTTTGTCCAAAAATCCAAATGGTACGTTTCGTACGGCCAAATGCATCAAATTTTTCATTTAAGTTCTAGACTATGTCGTCTGTAGCCTAGTATTCTTTTCATAGATCAAATGAAGACATAGTATCAGTCGTAGAACATTGAAACACTCGGATTTTCATCACAAATTCATAAGAATGTTTTATGAATGAAGTAGGTGGTTCAGTTCGATCAGAGAGTAGGGGTGTTGCTATGTATTTGGATAATTAATCTGACTAAACCTTTGGTTGTCCATGCATGACAGAAAGTGATACCAATGTGAAATGGCGTTGACAAAATAGATTTTGTCCAATAGATCATCTTTGCATGATTGTCGTAGAACTCCATTCATTTTTTTGCTTTCTTTTCCAGTGAAGTCGAACCAGGAAGAGACCAAATTTGCTTCTCATTAAACATCGCTCTTGCTCAGTTCTCATAATCAATTTGATTGAGACAGGTACACATCTTCCTCAGTCTGCTTTACAAATTACAACAGACGCGTTTCGTTTCTGAGATTTCAAAGCATCCATCTCTTCACTGGACACTTTCCGTATCTTCTGGCGAGTGTTTTTAATTAATTGTAAATATTTGGAAGCTATGCCTCGGCATAGAGTACAGCAAACATCATAGTTGTTATTTGCACATCTGATTTAGTTAACAGATTAGACGATATTTTCCTTTTCCCACCGTACATTAAAATGATTCATACAACTGTATATCTTATGTTCAAGAGTCAAATGAGAAAAATATGGGAATAGCTACCTTTCTGTAATAAGTGATCAACTCTAGTGGACTTTGAAACGATGCCCATGGCTTACTCAGAGATGTTTTTCTTATGGCTTTCATGATTGTAGATAGTTTTAGGAATTCTCAACCAAAATCCAGATTTCAACGAATGTCATTTGTTGGACTATTTCTCTGTTTATTTTCCATGAAAAGAATTTGATTTAAAGTATATTGTTAAAACTCTTCGTATTTGTATCTGCTGGTATCACAGAATGCTTAAACTTTAATTCAATGAGATTGTTATTTTCGATTCGTTGTCAATACTGATGTTGAGCAACGAATCAGTGCCTGTATGAAATCAGTTAGCTGATCGAGTGATTCCAATTACATTCTGCAGGACTTTATTGAATCGGTCAAAAATAGACAGCATGGTCTAAGTGAAAAAACAATACTATTTAACAAAATAGAGTAGATCTATGATGAGTACTCGAAAAAGGAGAACATTGATTAAAAAATAGAAAGATCAAAACCAGAGAAAAATTAAGCAGCGTGAACATATGTACTCCACACAGTCGTCTCACTTTCAAGGCGGATGATCAAGCTGATAGATAATTTGATGGTTAACAATCATGACGCTGGGATGATGCGATGGTTATTGTTTGAGACAGTAAGATTCTTATCACTTTGAGAAATTTGAATACAAAAAAATGGACTGCAAAGGAATAAGAGTCAGATATCGATCATACGCATTAAGGATGTCTATCGATGAGTTAAATAACGAAAGCAAATATTTCCTTCTCGTTTTTGACACTTGAATAAGATCAAAGACTGCCATAAGTTACTCGAATAATCCAGAATTCTCTCATAAAAAATGTATGAAAATGAGGATTCTCAGACGATTGAACAAATCTAATTGGTTCTGACTGGTTTTCTACGATTTAGAGTATCTTAGACTTTCCGAACGATCTTGACAATATTTTGCCAGTTTTTCTCATATAGATTGGTTTAAATAAACTTTTTTGTTTCTTGTTTTGTAAAATCAGACAAAACGAATCTAAAATACTTTTTAAGTTGAGGGAATGAAGTTATGCATGGTGGTTATTTATAGCGATTTGCAAGAAAATATGCCGCAACTTTTGGTGAAACTTCAGAAGAGACAATCAATGAGCAGAATTTGAATACAATATCCTATTTTCTTGAATTAAGTCGGCTATTTTCGAAAGAACACTGAATCGACTCAGTTAGAACGCAACCATATCAATCATCAGTCTCGCGCAAGTTACAGACTGCTGCAGACGCACCAACATCGTGCTCTCGATATACAATACTCTCGTTCAACAATGGAATATATTTAGCACTACTAAGTCTGACATAGATTTACTGTGATTATAGACATAGGACAGAGAACAGTAACAATCAAGATTGAAGTAAAATCAAGTGCTTTCTCTGATTTAAATAATCTTCCTTCTTCGTCACTCGATACGATAGATATTGTTCACGCCTTTTTTCTACCTGCTCTTCATATACTTCACTTTTGTGTTCACATGTTGGCACATACGAGCAGTTACGCACCTGAACTTTCCTAACTCACTCATTAGAATGAGTACTGTTGAAGTTAATGGTGCTGGAAATCCACATCTAGATAAATTGATCCAGAGTAGCTCAAATGAATAAATGTCTCGCTCATACAGCAGAACAAGATCTATTCAATATCCTAATGAATATGAATCAGTCAGTCATACACCCAAACGTAATCGGAAGGAAACACCTGATTTTAATATTGGTATTGATCAACATCCGTCTAAGTTAAGTGATAATAGACAAGAAACTGCAAAAATTTCAACAGCAGTAACAACAGCATCTTATTTTAATATTAGTCATCAATTTAACCCTTTGAGGACGGTGGAACATATTTGTCCCACCTATTTTTCAGTACAGAAAATGTTTGCTCTACATTAAACTGTTACAATCTTTAAGGTAAATAGGTCGTCTATCTGCCATGTCGTGCAGATCTTTTTTCTCTTTCTTCCTGTCATAGAGATCCTTCTCAGATGTCCTCTTTCCTTTCTACTACTATACACTGACACATGATTTCTCCCTCTCTTCTCTCAATGCAGTATCATCAGGTTTTTATCTGATCATTTTAAGCCAAATACAACAGATTGAGTGAAGAACCATTTTTCGACTGAAAAAAAATCTGTCCGGCAAAGGCTAAAAAACGTTCTAATGATTCATCAAATCGATTACGTCGTGAATCAGCACGACAAGCATTTCCACCATTTCGTATTACACTACAAAAATGTTAATCAATATCCAACAACAGAAATAGGTATAATTAAAGAAATAAAGAAACATTGGAAATTAAACCTAACCTATAGACGATATGCAAAATCATCAAAAAATCAAATGTGTTTTTTATTTTATGCCAGCACTGTAACACAATTCGAACACCTGATGTGTGAAACAAACTAGCCCTCTATGATCAACAATACCAAATACAAACTGGACTCATCAGACAAAATACCATCATCATACTGTATCGTTGTTCTAAATGTTCCTAGTCATTGGAGTGCACAAGCTTTTGGTATGAATTAAAACAGCATTATCCATCAATTGTGCGTGTTTTACGTTTATTTACTAGTGGTGACTGTCCATTATCAAAAGTTCGTGCGGAGTTTTCATCGTACAAGGAATTATCCATGATTTTGAAATGAAAAAGTATATTACTAGATGACGATAATACTGCATTTGATGTTGAACCATATTTACCACCAACTCGAATACTACGATATTACAATTGTCAAGTTTATGATGATCATATTGCAGCTCATTGTCCAAACAAAGATAATCCAGTTTGCTTCAGATGCGCTCAACATCATCCTCATAATCCAAATTGTAATAATGTTATTAAATGTGCTCACTGCCAAGGTGATCAGATCTGGCAATACAAAAGAGTACTTGTTCAACATTAAAACAGCAACAAATAACACCACATCAACAACCGTACAAAATAACAACAACAATCACCAAATGGACATTGTTGATATGTTTGACAAAGTTAACAATACAATGTTATATATTAACCAACAACAAGATGACCTGAATGAAAAATTCGATACTATTGCAATGAAATTAAATACTCATAACAATGATATTGGTCGGATTAAATATTGTATTTATGAAATTAAATGTCTACTTGTCAAAGAGCTTTCAAATCAAATTCACCTAAAAGCAAGAGGTTCAAATAAACAAACTATATCTTCTTTGTATAATAAATTACTAGATTTTATTTCGAAAAACATTGTTTCAAACAACAATATAGATGATGGATCTGGTGACAAAACAAGTGCGCACGAGCGTACAATATCCAACCGTGATCTCTATCAAACAACAATATATGAATCCTAATGCCAATATATTTATTCCTACAAAAAAAAGATTCTCATATGATTCCAATGACTAATCTATCTAAAAAGCAAATCAAAATTTTACAAGACCTTATTTCGGAATAGACCACTACATCAACATCAAATAGCGTACTAAAGAAATGGAAAATTCGACGACAACAAACAATGGAAATGCTCGACGATAAAAGTGAATTATCTTTTTTATTATTGAATATCAGTAGTCTTTAGCTCTATCATTATGATTTGTTTGAATCACTTAATTCACTCCGCGTATCTGTTATTGTATTAAATGGTACACGACATGACAAGGACACGTTAAAGTATTTTTCAATGTAATTAACAAATTTCTAAGTTCTTTTTCTCAGAAAGGAACAAATGCATTTGGTGGTCTCTTAATTGCTATACATCGCTCTTTTCCAGTGCAACCATTCACCAGTTTTCAAAATGATTATAATCTTATTATTCTGGATATAGGATATTCTTCAAATCAAGTACAATTAGCAACCTATTATTCTCCACCAAATGAGAATTTACCACTGAATTCTTTAATGATTTACTACGTCGTAATTCAAATACTATCTTACTTGGTGATTTAAAATATTTGAATGGTTAAATGAAAATTACTTTCAAGTTATTAATAAATTTGTTCCTACTTCAACACGATCAAATGCAGTAATTGACCTTATATTAGTACCTATGAGCATTTTTTTTTGGTTCTTTTTCTATACTTCCATCTATTAGAAGTGATCATTTTCCTATTCTTTGGTCATCCCCATTCACAATACTATGGAAAGATCGTTTTCTTTCTATTAAACGTACTTATTGGACGTTATATGAAGTCTATATTACTTTCACATCTTCGATTTGGGAGAATTTATCTATAACTGTATTGCGACAAAGTAAAATTTTTCTGTCTTCATGAACTTTTTTCGTCCTTATCTTCTTGTTGATTAACCTACGTATCTAATTGAAAATCATACAAATCTTCGATATCACCTCAGATAGTTGATCTAATACAAAACAAACGGCATAATCTACATCTGGTTAGAAGAACCAAGCATCCATATCATATTGTACAATTAAAGTTACTTTCGCAACGAATATGAAAAGATATGGTTCTACACCAAACGAATATGTGGAGTAAATGTTGTAAATTCCTTAATTCATGTGATATTCGACAGTTTTGGCGAAAAGCTCGGCGACATTTCTCCTCTTATTGTCCATCAATTGAAGGTATTCTACACAATGGTGTAGCTATCACATCTCCAGTGGAAATCTATGATATAGCCAAGTAATTTTACACAAAACAATTTTCTGAGCATGAAAATAATCAATCTGTGGTGGAAATCGAAGCTTATTTAGTTGATCAAGAACTGGATAAAGAACTTAAAAATTCGAAATTAGATTGTATTGGTATTAAATTCATCGATGTTAAAAAAGCTGTTTTATTATTAAAGAACAAGAATTCCACAGAATTAGATGGTGTATCAAACAGAATTATAAAACTCCTACCTTCACTTCATCTGACATTCATTACTTCCGCTTTTAATTTTATGACTCAAATATGTATGTTTTTCTCGTCATTGGCTTGTTGCGAGAATGATACTGTTGTCCAAGACGAAAACGTCAATAGTGGATATAAATGATACACATCCAATTTCATTACTTTCATGTTTTTCGAATTTATTTGAGAAATTGTTTCTCATACACTTTCGTCAATAGATTTGGGATAGCGGTATTCTATCGGAAGAACAGACTGGTTTCAGGTCAGCACATAATATGTCTACCAGAATCATGTCGATTATTGATCAAATTGGATAAGGTCTTGCACTAAATACCACTACTGCTACGTTATTTATCGGTTTCAAGTCTGCCTTTAATCAACTATGGATTAAAGCTCTTTGGTTTAAACTTAAATGTCTCAATTTCTCTTTGTAAATTATTGCGTGGTTAAGAAATTATTTAATAGGCCGTTCAGCCTTTATAGAAGTTAAAGATATCAAGTCAAATGATTTGCCATTATTTAAAGGTGTTCCTCAGGGTTCTTCCGTAGGCACAGTATTATTAATTGCTTTTTATTACGATATGGTTAAAAGTAGTATCAAATCTCCACCTTAAACATCCATTTGCCGATGATTTTGCTATTGTTCTGTCACCATCAGCAACTTAGTCATCGCAATTACTCATTCAACATCTTTCACAACAAATTTCCAATGTAATAAAAGACTTCTACTCTTATGCAATCAAATGGAAACAACCAATAAACTTCAAAAAGACCTATATTCCTATGATTCCTATCATTTATTGTGAAAATCACATCATCGAACAAGTTTCCAAATTTAAGTATCTTGGTATCATTCTAGATGCTAGATTATCTTTCAATTTTCATGTCGATTACATCGAGTCAAAGATTAATAAAAATATTGTAATTTACAAACGTTTATCTAGCAGCCGTATGCTATCCCGCGTAATACCGTATCGATTATATTATGCATATATTCGTTCATACTACCAATCTGTTTTAAATATTTACCCAATATTATCTCGTACAAAACAATCACAAATGGAAGTGTTAAATCGTAGAATTTTGCGCACTATGCAGAGATGGCATGATGTTACGAATGATGAAATAATCAACCTCACATCTTATAAATCTATAAAATTAGTTACACAAATGCATTTCTCAAAACTATTGCCCACAATTATTCGTACTAATTCTTCAATCATTGCTGATTTTATTTAACATAAACTATAACTGTTATTCTTAAGGGAATATTTCTTGAATCTTGTTTTACTAAAGCAAAAGCAAGCAATTGTAACAAGAGGAAGAACATCAAATCGTATACGACACTACTATCGTCTTGTAAACAATCTCGTTTTGACCAAGTTTTTTGCTTTACGTAAGGAAAACAAAAAATCAACACCGAGGAACTTTAAAGATATAGATGCGGAACCAATTTCTATTATGTTAAATATCCGATATATATTACTATTAAAACGTTTCTTATGAGTGACGACTCGGGGAGATCTAATAGTTGCCATGTTGTGTAAACTTTTATTTCCTCTACTGAAAGGAGGGTATTACGCAGAGTGAGTAACCTTCGTTTGTTCGTGTGTCTGTTCGTGCGTCTGTGCGTATGTTCGTTCGTTCGTGTGTCGGTTCGTACGTTCGTTCATTTGTGTGTCTGTGCGTATGTTCGTTCGTTCGTGTGTCTGTTCGTATGTTCCTTCTACTGAAAGGAGGGTCTTACGTCGAAACGAGTTGGCTACGTTTGTTCGTGTCTGCGTGTGTGCGTTCGTTCGCACAGACCCAAAAAAAGTTTCTTTGACCTCTCTCCACATAATGTTTTTTCATAAAGTTTGACCGAAGGTAATCGGGGTCAGTGAACTCAAATCCGGGATTAGTTTGTTGAAATTTTGCTTTTTGCTTTTTTTCGGAGAGAGAAGGACTTTTTTACAAAAAAAATGTTTTTTTTATAAAGTTTGACCAAAGGCAATCAGGGTCGGGAAACCCGAATCCGTGATTAGTTTTTTGAAATTTTGCTTTTTACTTTTATTAGAAGAGAGAAAGGTTTTTTACGAAAAACAATGTTTTTTTATATAGTTTGACCGAAAGTAATCAGGGTCAGGGAACCTGAATCCGTGATTAGGTTTGTCGAAATTTTGAGTTCTGCTTTTTTTGATATGATACACCAAAGAATGCTGACGGCTAGCCGTGAGTGGCGCCGCGCAGGGGCGCCGACGAACGACTAGTCGTTAAATAGAAACTTTTTCGAAACAGTACCTCACACGCCTCAGATCCATAGATTGACTTTCTGCCGCTGGCTCGCTCTTTTTCGACTGAGACTGTGTTTCGGACGAACAAAACAACGAGCAAATAGGACTATCACCGAGATGACTGGGTATTTTGTATGGGAGAAGTATTTCTTCAGTTTTCAATTAAGCAGTCTTGTCAAAGAAGCGGAGTAAAAATCATGTAGATTATCTGTAGGAAAAGAGGATCTGTTTACGAAGTACAGTAGAATAAGGGAACGGCGAGCCGTGAGTGGCGCCTCGTGGGGGCGCGGATGAACGACTAGCCGCTGAACAGGACGTTTGTAGAAAGAACCTTTCGGACCACTAGAACTAATTAAGTGATTATGTATCAATCGGGTCTACTCGGCTGTGACTATTCAATGAGTCAGAATAAAACTGATAAAATAGTGTGTTTTAATATAGCCCTCTAGGTTGTGGAAGAAAAAAGGTTATAGCGCAGTTGTTCAGTTAGAATGATAATATATCATTTTTTGAAATCACATTATGATCATTGGTCAATGATTGTACGCCAGAGAGATCACTGGGTGGAATGTAAAACTCTGGCACTAACCATGCTACTGTACTTTTATCACATTGTACTCCTTCCAGTAGCGGGCTTAGCGTCCANATTCATTGATGTTAAGAAAACTGTTTTATCATTAAAGAACAAAAATTCCACAGGATTAGATAATGTATCAAACAGAACTATAAAATTTCTACCTGCATCTCATCTAACATTTGTCAATTCCTCTTTTGATTATATGGTTCAA